TATTTGGTATATTATAAGACAATTGTAACTGATTAGTGGTGTAATGTTGTTATAAAAAGATATATATATATATATATAGAGAGAGAGAGAGATAGAGAGAGAAAATAAGGAAAGAGAGAGTAAGGGTGAGAGAAAATAGGGGGAGAGAATGAGAAAAAAATAGGGGAGAAAGAGATGAAAAAAATCAAGTAAAAGTTTTACATATTTGAAAAAAAATAAATTATTAATGGGATATTGAGAGAGAAAATAGGGGAGAGATAGAGAGAGTAACGGAGGGAGGGAGGGAGAGAGAGAGAGAGAGATAGATGGAGAGAAAATAGGGGAGAGATAGTGAGAGAGTATGAAGAGAGAGGGGGAGAGAGAGTGAAAGAATAAGAATTATGCATAATTTAAGGAAGGGTAAGTAAATAAAAAAATTTAAATGTCATTTGAATTTTGTACCTAATTCCAAGATGTTATATTAAAATTGAACTTAACAGAGCAAAATACTTTTTCATACATTTCCTCTTAAATGAGTTTAAAAACATATACTCACACCCAAAAAACCCATTTTCTTAAGGGTGGCCCATGGAGAATTGCCCTTCACTATATATATTATGGGAGGGGCCATGGGTGGTTTTGAGTAGTTTATTTTGCATTGGTAGACAAATGGATGCTCACAGCCTCACAACATAGGCAAAGTGGCTACGCAACACAACAAAAGCCATACTGAGAATTTTATGATTTTGAGAGTGTAAATGGAGAATTGATTTTTTTTTTAATTATATCCAACCAATGCCCCCAAAATCATGTCCACAGCAAGTGGTATTTTCTATTTAGAATTAGGCAGCAATTACTAACAAGATTAAGAGGTAGAAGTATAAAACATGAGAGGTGAAATTAATGCAAAAAAAAAATGTTTTAAAGACCAAAGTGGGAATGGGTTTGTTGCTTGTATTGATAGGGAAACAATTTCAGATTTCAGAAAACTATAAGAATGGCCACATCCTTAGGTGCTAGAACATTCTACTGATGAGAAGCGGTTTCTATTGGAATATGCTCAATGGAAGGTCGAGAATGAGGATAAAAAATTTTAAATAGCCAGTGGATCTTTGAACCTAATTTATTGATTTAATTCATTACAATCATTGGATTAATTAGCAGCAAATCTCAATATTGGATGAAATATATTATCAATCCAACAATTTTAGAAGATGAAATCACAAAATTAAATCAATAAATTATAGGGGTGCAACTTGGGCAGGCAAACCCGAACCCAACCTTAACAAAATAGTATAAGGGTTGAGGTATTTAAGGTTAGGGTAAAGATTGCAAAACATCAACCCCAATTGAATTTGGGCAAGACTTGGGTTAAGAACTCGAATTAGTAGATTTAACCTTAACCAACCCGAATTGATGAAATCGGGCTCAGCCCGAACCAATACAAACTCATGTATTATATTTATATAATATAAAAATAAAATATAAATATATATATTTGTAATTATTTTTATTTAAAGAAGAACTGAAACATAATTTATAAATTATTAATGTTGAAAGAAGATTACACAACCGATATGAGATATGTAAAAAAGGCAAATGACATTTCTCCTCTGTAAAGAAGCTCACCTTTATACCCTTAATAAGTTCTCTTAATGAGTTTCATCTTCCTCGGTCATGTAGGCCTATGTAACAGTTCAATATTTTACAAAAATTCACACTTAATTTAAGATTATTATTGGTTGAGCCCAAATTGGGTGATCCGATTTCAACCTAAGTCCAAAATCAACTCGGATAATATTCGGGTTAAGGTCGGGTTTTAGGTTATGGTTAGAATTAGGGTTGTAGATTTTATATCTAGATTTGGATCCTTCAACCCGCTTAAGTTGTACCCCTAATTAAATTAGATATGAATAACATAATTTTTTTTGTAAATAATATGAGATGGTTTCATGTTGTTTTTGCCCAACGACACAAGCTTCCTCACTTCCTATTACAAACTAGGACAAATTATATTTTGACCATTCCACTATGGTCTTGATCTAACTTTTGTTTTTTGAACTATTGATGTTTTCACATTATTCCATAAAGTACTTGGATCATCTCCTTAAAAACAAACGTCCGTTATCTTTTAGACAACAAAATATAAATTTGCCATTAGACAATTTTCCGGCAAATTTGCAAAAATGTTAATTAGTAGGACAATGCAACATATAGTGCCACAAGTGTGGGGTCCTAGTGTGATTTTTGGCTTTATTCAGTGTGCTCTTCTGTGTTCAAGCATTATCATCTTTCATAAGGGGCCACTGCCAGTGGACGACAACATTGCTTAACCAATAATATATTACCATGATCCACTCTACCATTAGGATTTGTACAAAAATAAAGTTTATATATTGAGAGTAATACTTCTTAATCACAATGTATAATTACACTATCCACACAGGTTAAGCAGAATGTATAATTACATTCTGCACATTCGAATATAGGTTTATCAGTATCATAAGAATCACCATAATTGTAATACAAGGACTTCTTTCTTGCCTTCCGTACAAATGTTAGAGGGTGTGAGTGACAGTTAACTTTAAGGGTGCCCATACTTGACGTTTGAATATTTGTCTTTAATATATTTTGGATGAAACGATTGATCGCAATCATTACAATGGTAGATCCAATAATTCGAATTTATTTCTTTCTCACACATTTCACAATGGAACTCATTAGGATGTTCACTAAATGGAGGATAGGACAGTGTGAGGGGATGTTTGTCCAATCTATGCGTAATGGTATGGGGAAGTAGGGCACACATATGCTCAAGATTGAACTTGTTCACATCCAAATCCGTTTGTAGGGAAGGTACGATCACATGCATTGCAGAGATGTTTTTAACCTTTCATTTGAACCAATGGATGCTTGTGAGATTGATGTGCAATCGAAGTAGGTAGGAAAGCACATTTGACACTAAGGAAGAATTCACATGCTTTACATGTGTATAAGAATCCATTGTTGTATGTGACGCAAGCAGCACACTCGAATACCTCGAAGAATTTACTATGCTGAGAAAGTTGCGGTGGGTGTTCATGGTAAATTGGGAACTCCAATTCCCTTCATAACCCGACACAATTTAAGTGGAGAAAATAATCACATTGACCAAAACGGTGAAACGGAAATAATCTTGGTAGCACACAACCATCACATAAGATAATCTCATCATTGATATCATCGTCATTCTGCACATCGAAAAGGATTAATGGATGGTCATGGCTCCAATGAATGAGCACCGCCTCTCTCTCAACATCTTCAAGTTTGGTATGTTTAGCAAAATGTCTAGCTAGTTCTACAGAACCATCAGTTACTGGAAAGTGTAGGAGATTAGGGTCGGTTGATTGATTAACTTCATTCTCACTTTCACCATCTCTGAAACCACAAAATTCTAAATAAAACATTTACTTAACATTAAGAAAGATAAATCAACATTAGGTCAAAAATTCCAAATAAAACATTTACTTAACAGTAGTAAAAAAATATTATTGCTCTAAGAAAAGAGTAATACTATTTAACTCTAAAAATTTGATATTATTTCTTAACATAATGATGTGATTTCATTGTAACAATTAGATTAACATTAAATTTTAATATTTAATAGGATCCATAATAAATATTTTAATAAAAAAATAAACAGAGTTGAACAACATAAAATGAGTATACTCACCTAAAAGTCTCAGGAGTTGTAATTGAACATTTCACGTGGAGAAAATACACACATGGAGCACGACAATAAACCCATTTGGCGGGCAAAATGAAGAGACTACAAATACCACAATACTGTATGAAACTGGTTAACATAGAATACTGGTAGATGAAAGTAAGAGAGTGATGGTGATAACTACGATTGATGGCTTTGGATAACGAAAGACAACTCTTATGAACCATGAATCGACAAGTCAAACATATATAGGACATATCTTTACTTTCCATGACGCAAACATTACAAGTGAAAGAGGTGGGGGCTAGAGGGTGCTCATGAACTTCTTTTGTAATCTCGAGATTCGGCATATTGAAACAAGACATGCAGATATTAAAATTGCAAGGAGGACAAAAGTAGTTGATCAAGACGCACGACAATCTTCCCACTCAGAAAAAAGAAAGAAAGTCATTTGTATGAATGCCTTCGAATATATGCAATGTCTAGGACTCTGATAAATAGTCCATGGCTCAAGGTCATACCTCAGTTTATAGCTCAATTGAAATAGTGGCAAAGCCAAGAATTTAGTTTAAGGTCGATACTTTAATTTTAAATTTTAATTAATATTTTTTAATCAATAAGAATATAATAATAAATTTATATTTGTTTAAATAGAGGTCGGTCATTGAAAATAAAAAATTAATTGTAGGCCAATTACAATTAATTTCAAGTTTAAATTAAGAGTACAAACAAAAAAATAATAAATTATATCCAAAAATATACCAATCGCAGAAATCTCTGTTATAATAAAATACATTAAACCAGAAATTAAAGATTGGTTGAAGTTCATAATTTAGAAAAAAAATGTCGTTAGACAAGAATTATGAGTAAAGAGATAAAAAAAAACATGGACAACATTGTTATTGTCTCTTGGGATTTAAATTTTTTTTTTTTACTTTATTTCATGAACATGTTTCTTATATACTTATAAAATAATCTTATATTTTATATTACATAATAATCCTACTTTTGATTCAATATTAAAGAAGCTCATAATTTTTTGAAATTGTTTTTTACAAATGAGTTTCAATATTTCCAAAAATATATCCAAATATGTCTAAAGCGTGTCTGAAATATGCTTAGTCATTTTGTGTTAGCTTATACATAAAATATTAGGGTAGGTACAACAAACTATTTTGAAAAATATTTAACAAAGTGATATATGTATATCAATAAAAAGAAAATTTCAAAATTTGAGGGTGAGCCTAGCCCCCAGTCCCTTGTGTCCCTCTGCCACTGGATTGAACCATGGATCATAGTTTTTTTTTTTAATGGACTAGCCCAACATTGCCTGTTGAGCATACTTCTCTTTTCTATCCAGCTTACCAACTATTGATTTTGCTGAAATTCCTGGAACGGAGAAAAAACGTCGTTTCAATTAGAGAACATACTTCTTTTTTCTACTTGGCTTGCCAACTATTGAGCCTTGTCTAGGAAAATTATCTAATAATTAAAGAATTTTTTAATTTATTTTTGAATGATGAAGATCTGCACACACACGTGAGCAAATTATGTTTGTTTGAGTTTATTAATGGTTAAGATAAAATTTGTTTACGTGGATAAATCATAATATATTTTTAAAATAAATTAAAAATCCCCCAATTAATTACAAATCGGGGGAACAACAATCATGGTAAGGCTGTGAATGGTGTTTTTCCGTATTTATTTGCTATTCATCTCACTGTGATCCGCAATGATGAAAGCATTATATAAGCCTTGCATTCAATTCCATGTTCATGTTCAAAAATAAAAAATAAAAAAACAAAATCAGTTACATGTTTAAAACTGTTTTTAAAAGAAACATGACAACCATTTTAAGATAATGACATTCAAACTGTACCTCAATTTTACACACATTATTTGTCCATACATTTAGAGAGGGCAGACAGGGAGAGGGAGAGAGGAAGAGCAAGGAGAGAGAGAGATCAAATTATTCCTTGTGGTCTTCTCTGTTGAAACATTATCCTCTTTCATGAGGTGTCAATGGACGATGATCCACTCAACCATTAGAATTTATAACAAAAGTTAAGTCAAAATACTCGGAGTAATACATTCTAAACACAATGTATAATTACACTCTCCACATTCGAATATGGGACACTCAATATCAATATCAATATCAATAGCCATAACACTAACATAAGAATGACCACAGCTATAATACGAGGACCTCTTCCATGCCTTTCGTACAAATGTGAGAGAGTGTGGGTGATAATTAACTTCAAGTGTGCCCCCATACTTGATGTTTGAAAAGTAGTCTTTAATGCAGTTGGTATGAAATGATTGATCGCAATCACGACAATGGTAGATCCAATGAATGGGATTTATTTCGCCCTCACACATTTCACAATGAAACTCACCAGGATGATCACTAAATGGAGGATAGTACAGGGTTGGGGGATGTTTGTCCCATCTATGCCTGATGGTACGTGGGAGTAGAGCATCCTCGTGACATATTTTGAACTTGCAATCATCACATTTAAATCCGCTTGTAGAGAACTTGAAATAACATCCATCACAGAAATCTTTTGAACCATTCATTTGAACCATTGGATGCTTGTGAGCTTGATATGCAATCGAAGAAGGTAGGAAAGCACATTTGACATCAAGGATGAATTCACATGTTTCACATGTGTAGAAGAATCCGTTGGTGCATACGCGGCAAGCATCGCAGCAGAAGGTCTCGTAGAATTTTGTACCCTGAAAAAGTTTCATTGGGTGTTCATCGTGAATTGGACGATGCAATTCTTGTGGTAAGTTGACGCAACTTAAATGGAGAAAATAGTTGCATTGACCACAATGATAAAATGGAAATGATATTGGTTGCACGCAACCATCACATAACGTAATCTCATCTTTGATATCATCGTCCTTTTGTACATTAAAAAGGATTAGTGGATGCTCATGACTCCAATGGATGAGCTTTGCCTCTCTCTCAGTATTTTCAAGATTGATTTGTTTAGCAAAATGTCTAAACAGTTCTAAGAAACCATCGGTCACCGGTAAGTGTAGCAGATTTGGGTCGATTGATTGATCAACTTCATTCTCATTTTCACCACCTCTGGAACCACAAAATTCCAAATAAAACATTTACTTAACATTAAGAAAGATAAATAAAATTCTTCCAATGAAAAGACCTGTGTTCCCTTTGTTGAAATAAAGACAAAAGGTTCGATTTGAGATATCCTAATGATCAACTTAGTGAAATCTTCTATTTCGTATACCAGAAAAATGAATGATCCATCAGGGAAAGAATTTATCTCTGATAATAGTTAAGATCGCACCAATATCAATATGTTTTCTTCTATTTTTACCTATACCAGGCCAAGGATTTAAGAATCGCTTAAACTAAATCAAGGAACTATGAGTAACGCTATTTAGACTTAAAAATCTGATCTAGTTTGTTTGTCTAATGATGTGGTTTTATTGTAACCATTGGATTAATATCAAGTTCCAATGATTGATGGGGCCCTAATCAATCCAATATATAGTTATAATGAATTAGGTCAGGAAATTATGTCAAAAAATAATATTTCTCTAAAAATAGAGTAATGCTATTTAGCTTTAAAAATTTAACATAATTTGTTGATCTAATGATGTGATTTTATTGTAACTATTAGATTAACATCAAATTTCAATATTTGATAAGGTCTACAATAAATATTTTAATAAAAAAGATAAAATGAATAAACTCACCTCAAATTTTCTGGAGTTGTAATTAAACATTTCACGTGGAGAAAATATCTACACGGAGCACAACAATAAGCCCATTTGGCGTTGGAAATGGAGAGTCTGCAAATACCACAATACTGTTTAAAATTGGTTAACATAGAATACTGGTAGATGAGAGTGAGAGGGTGATGGTGATAACTACGGTTGGTGGTTTTAGGTAACGAAAGACAACTCTTATGGACCACAAATTGACAAGTCAAACATACATAGGACATATCTTTACTTTCAATGCGACAAACATCACAGAAGAAAGAGGTTGGCCTAAATATGGCGGCTAAAGGGTGCTCATGAACTTCATTTGTAATCTCGCGTTCCGCCATATTGAAACATGACAGGCAAATATTAAAATCGCAAGGAGGACAATAGTAGTTGAATCGATTTATACTTTTTGTACAAATATCACAAGAATGCGTATCAGAAACTTCATAAGTACCACTTGTATGGAGGATTAGAAGGTGTTTGGAGTGTATGAGGTGTGTAACCTCCTGGGGGAGTTCAGCACAACTTTTATGTAGAAAGTAAGAACACTCTCCACAATTATATGCAGAGTCTAAGATCACTTTCTCACATGCATAACAGAAACATTCGTCACCTTCACCCTCCTTTTGTACTTCTTTGAGGATCAATGGATGCTCATGGCTGAAATGTTCAAGCTCCATCTGTTTGTCTTGGTGGGAAAGAGATCATGAGGGGCTGCAAGGGTGGTTTTCGACACTGTGACGAGGTATATAACTGGTACGAGTTGAATGTAAATGAACTGAAGATATGCTTATATTAACTTCATTGTTGGTTTGGTTATTATTATAATAAAGATTCCTTGATTAATACAAATCAAAAGGTTTGGTCAAGAAAAGGCCTGCCCTACAATTTGATATAACTACTCTTTTCTTATTAGTTGCTTCTGCCCAAGTCATTGCGCAATTGCAAATGAATTCTTCATCTACCACTATAAGCCATTGGCCATAATTTTTTCATTTGCTAATTGTATATGTTCTTGTCATGATTAGGTTCAGTTGACTCCTAATTATATAAGTCTTGTTTTTTGAGGTGAGATCTAGGTATATATGTATATATATATAAAAGTACGATCATAAAAAACTCTGTACTACAGCCTCTAGTAGATATCTTTTATGTAGACCGTTTGATTACTAGAGAGTATGACGTAGAGTTTTTATGATCGCACTACTTAATAAAATTATTATATTACTGAACTCTCTAACTCTGGTTTAATGAAATCAACCACTTCTAAAGTTTACTATACTTTGAAATAGTTGTAGTTTCTTTTATAGTTTATAGCTGTTGATAGCGAGACATTCATACTGTTCATAAGGACTGCAAAACTCTTAGCTCCACCATCGTTTCAGTTTTCAATGTCTTACAAATTGGTTTGACAATTCTTATTTTAGTCGTCGTTTTTTCCAAGTTGTTGTGTTTTCCACATGAAGATGAGTTGTCGAGCATTGTTGGCCACTTGCCATTTTATTTTTTGCTTGCTACTACTAGTTAATTGTTATATATGGTTTGTTTATGACTTGATCTCAATAATTGAATCTATTGAATTGAGTTGACCTCTAATGCAAGGAGTAAATTTCAAGGAGAGATCTTGGATTATAATTTTAGTTCAACCAATGAAATGAATACAATACAGGAAGAATTGTTTAATTTACTTGTAATATTATTGAGACTTAAATTTCTAATCCAATGTTATGTCACTTGATATGATTCAATGGCATTAACATAACTGTAACTGGTTGACTTTTTCAATAGAACTATATATATCAACCGATAAACCTTTATGTATAAACGTTTAAAGTAAGATAGATTCTAATAATATTCTTGATTCACTACTCTTATAAGTTTTCGTAACAATAAAGTTGATTCTCATGAAAATTCGGTGCTTCAACAAATAGATCGAATAGCTCCCTGGCTAGGGTCAAAAGCACTACTAATTTTTTTTTTTTAACAGTCAGGAATGTCCGAATTAATTTGCATTTACCTCGACTAGTCCCCTTCCCGGTCCAGTCAAAGGAAGGACATCCACGTCAGGACTAGAGGATTCATAAAGGATAAATCCAAAGACGGAGCCATTAGTGGGCTGAAGCCCAGAGTAAAAAAAAAAAAAAATTATCACTTTCATACATGGTTACCAGTACCAGCCTACTAAATCACTAATCATTAGCTCAATTTTTCAAAACCATTAAGGATTAAGCCCCAATATTCATGGAAAGAAAGAGTTTTTCAGAGTTTTCAGGCTTTTGAACAGAGAGGGGATTAGGCCAATGCCAAGCACCTCAATTTCGTTTGTATTGTCCATTCATTCTCTAGTTCTACTCGACTAATCCTCTTCCAAGAACCACAAACAGGGATTACACCTAAACTGTGTGAGATACCATGACTCATTCTTTGTCTCCTTAATCATATATTCAGACGTTATTTGAGTTGTTTTCTTTGATTTTCTGTTGATTATTTTTTAACTAGAATAGTACAATCATTGTTGTCTTGTTGATTTGTTTCTCTAGTTTGTTTCTCTAATTTTCAACCCTTCTTTACTTTATTAGGATGAAAAATCAATAACAAAAAAGAGCAAAAATAATTTTTTCATTCTTCAAAAAGAAAAAACCTTTGAGTCTAGTAAAAACATCAACAAGTATTGATGTTCCTATAATTCCTACGGCTGTTCAACCTCAAGGTCCTCAACCTCAAACAAAAATTTCAAGGATTCCTTTTGATGAGAATGAACTTGAACGAAATCTCGCATTGCGTATTCCGATATAGAAACATTCTGCTTATAATCAAGATGAAGTTAAACGTGCTTATATAAAGTTGGGACCAAATCAATCTATCTTGGCTGAGTATCCGAGGACTAAAATTGGAGTTCAAAATCGAAGATTTCAGGAAAGTTGGTACAAAAAATTTCCATGGCAAGAGTACTCTATTTCAAAATATGCGGCATTTTTCTTTCCGTGCTTAGTTTTTCAAGGTCGTGAACCTCTACATCCTGCATTTACTGTTAATGGTTTTAGTAGCTAGACAAGAGTGAATAATAGGGTTAAATGTGTTTTCTTGTCACATATGAGAGGTCCTGCTTCCACACACAATAATGCTGTGAGAAATGTTGAGGTGTTAAAAAATATATCAGTGCACATTAATAAAGTTATGAATGTTCAAAGTTTAGAAGAAATAAAGAGAAATCGATTGCGTCTTAAGGCTACCGTTGATAGTGTTCAATGGCTTACTTTATAGGGATGTGCCTTGAGAGGTCGTGATGAATCTGTAATATCAAAAAACCGTGGTAATCTAATTGAGATGATTAGTTTAATGGCAAAGTTGAATGTTGAGATAAATGATGTTGTCTTAGAGAAAGCTCCAGGAAATACAAAGTATACGTCTCCTATGAGAGAAAATATTCTAGCTACTAAAGTAAGAGAAAATATCCGTGAAAAAGTTGGAAATATCAAGTTTTATATTTTGGTTGATGAATCAAAGGATGCATCGAATGAAGAACAGATGACAATTGTTCTGAAATTTGTTGATATTCAGGATTTTTTGCAGGAGAGATTTTTTGAGATTGTGCATGCTAAAGATACCACTTCTTTAACTCTTAAGAAGAAAATATCAAAAATTCTTACTCGACACAATTTGTACATTCGAGATTTACAAGGTCAAGGATATGATGGTGTTAGAAAAATGCATGGTGCATTTAATGGATAGCAAGCTTTGTTCCGCAATAATTGTGAGTATGCATACTATGTTTATTGCTTTGTTCATCATTTACAACTTGCATTAGTTGCAACTACTGAAGATGAGATTTCAATATAGCAATTCTTTTCCAAATTGACATGCATTATCAATCTTATTAGTGCTTCTCCTAAGCATCATACAGAGCTGCAATCTGCCCAAGCTACTAAGATTGAAAAGGGGATAACTAGTGGTGAAGGAAAGACTGGTAAAGGGGCTAATCAGATAGATACTTTGCATCGAGCTAGTACTACTCGTTGGAACTCACATTGTGAATTCATTTGCGGTCTGATTGATATATATGATGCTATCATTAGTGTGTTTGAATGTATGGTTAACGAAAGATCTTCAAATACAATTCCTCGAGACAATTTTAAATCTTTCAATCCTGATCGCATTTGTTTACTTGCTGAGAAGTTTTATACAGCTGATTTTGATAGGCAAGACATGCATCATTTGAAATGTCAACTAGATCATTTTCCATTTGATGTGGTTCGCCATGAGAGGTTTCAAAGTATGTCTACCATGTCAGAATTATGTCGTGGTTTAGTAGAAACAAATAAGGCAGAGTCCTACAATTTGATTGATAAGTTGATTTGTCTTATTTTAACTCTTCCCGTTTCTATGGCAACTTCAGAAAGAACATTTTCAGCCATGAAAACATATCAAACGTACTCTTTGTAGCAAGATGAAAGATTAATATTTGACTAATTCATTAGTTGTCTACATTGAAAGAGAAATAACAGAAGCAATTGATACAAATTCAATAATAAATGCATTTTGTTCTAAGAAGGATCGAAAAGTCCAATTTCATTAGTAAGTGTTTATGAGTTTACATTTGTATTTTTATATATATGTTTATGAGTTTAAATTTGTATTTTGTTAATCATATGAATATTTAGCTTAGTCTGAAATAAACAAAAATCCTGACTCCACCCTTGAATAAATCTCTAATAACTTGGCCTCAAGTAATTGCTAAGTTTTATTTTACACCGTGATATCTCATTTTTTAGTCTAATCTAAATGTGTTATGTGTAAAAAAATTACTCTTTTCTTATTAGTGGCTTCTGTCCAAGTCTTGTATTTCGAGGTGAGATTTTGGTATATATATCCATCTATATATACAAAACAATAAAACAATATTCATAAGTACCACTTGTATGGAGGGTTAGAAGGTTTTTGGAGTGCAGGGAGTTTTCAACCTCCCGGGGGAGTCCCGCACAACTTTTCTGTAGAAAGCAAGAACACTCTCCACAATTATATGCAGAGTCTAAGTTCACTTTCTCACACACATAACATAAACATTTGCGACCTTCACCCTCCTTTTGCACTTCTTTGAGGATCAATGGATGTGAATGGCTGAAATGTTCAAGCTCCATCTGTATGTCTTGGTGGGAAAGAGATCGCGAGGGTGGTAGGTTTTCGATGCTGTAATAACGAGGTATATACTTGGTAAGAATTGAATGTAAATGAATTAAATACAGGCTTATATTAACTTCATTGTTGGTTTGGTCATTATTATAGTAAAGAAACATTGAATAATACCTAATCAAATGATTTGGTCAAGAAAAGGCCTCCCTTA